AGGGATGGAACCTATGTCTCCTGCATTGACAGGTGAGTTCTTTACCACTAAGCCACCAGGGAAGCCCAGGAAGGCATACTCAGAAGCCAAAACCAATGTGAAAATGGGAACTAAAAGAGGTAAAGGCTCCCCTGAGGCTGGGAGTTTTCTTGAGAGTATTTGCCACCCAGGCGATTGGAACTTAGATTTTTCATGGCTATAAAATAAAAAGAATGAATACAATAAAAAGGAAGGATAAAGATATAGCCCAGAACCTTCTCAAGTTAGGCACATAATAACTGGATCCTCCTCCGATTAGTTTGAAACCCTAGAGAGCTAGACCTTCATTATAAAAAGTGACCTGGAAATAACCACAACTCTACCACCATCTCTAGAGACTAAAGGGAATTGTAGTGCTTGAGCTTTTTTACTGAATAAAAGGGAAAACAAAAAATACCTCCTAATCACTCATACTCACAAGCTACCACACATATGCATTGAAGTCCAAATGTACACAGTCAACCTGGGTGATCCAAAACATCTCAAACTGACAATTTAGTCTAAAGGGATTTCAAGTAGGTATGAGCAAATGTTAATCTCACTGATAGGAATCTGCCTTCAACCCAGTCCCACAAAATTCTAATAATCCCAACAAAGTTCTCAGAAAGAAAGCTCACGATTAGAAAAATCACAAGCACATGGGAAGAAGAGCATCCTAAGTGGCAGCCGGTTGAGACGAGACAGAGGCAGCATACCTGGAAAGGCTTCGGGGATGAGCATTATCAGGCACAGAATATAAACTGTTTATTATATGTAAAGAAACAAAGGGATTGAAAATATAAATAAAGGGCTGGAGACTATTAAAAATATTTCCAACATATGTTTAAAAGAACCAAATAAGCATGCACAAACAGAAATTAGGAGGATTAGGACTCCCCTGGTGGTTCAGTGTTGGAGAGTCCACTTGCCAAAGCCGGGGACATGGGTTTGATCCCTGGTTTGGAAAGATCCACGTGCCTCAGAGCAGTTGAGCCCATGTGCCACAACTGCTAAGCCCACGAGCGCGGCTTCTAAGGCCTGTGTACCTAGAGCCCATGCTCTGCAATAAGAGAAACCACTGAAATGAGAAGCCCAGGCACTGAAACTAGAGAACACCCACACACAGCAACGAAGACCCAGCACAGCCAAACAAATAAAAATAAATCAATAAATAAGAAATAAGTGGGACTAATAGTGGATTAGACAGAGCTGAGAAAAAGAATTAGAGAGTTGAAGACTGAAGAAACTGTCAAGAAGGAATCACTGAGTGATTCCGAGAATAAAAATACAAAACAGAGATAAAGGTACAATGTGGATCAAGAGAAAAATTCCCACATATGTTAAGAGGACTTCCAGAAGGAGAAGAGAGAGGTATGGGTGGAGCAAAAGAGATGATAACTCATTTTTCCAAGCTGATGAAAATCACCCATCCACAGATTTTGAAGTCCAGCATATTCCAAACAGTATAAATGAAAATAATTCCACATCTAACCTCATCAGAAGGAAAGTGAAAAACACAAAAGGAAAATCTTAAGCACAGAAAAAGAAGACTGGTAAAACTTCAAAGGAATGGCAGTTAGATTGTCAGATGATTCAACGTTGAAAGGCCTGAAGTCACAGCTAATTAATATTAAATAGTATAGCCAGGAATTGGGCCCAGAAAGTTTGACTTCAGAGCCCAAGCACTGAATCACTACTAAACTGCCTCTGAGTATGGAGTTGGGAACTAATTTATTCAAGGCAGTAGTAAAAATAAAATTGGAATGATGAAGTTTAGCCTACATTTATTCAACTTCTGGTTGTTCTTAAAGTCTCAATGCATTATAACATGTATCTTATTCCTAGGTAGCAATTCCCCCTGGTCCTGGCACCAGCAAGACTAATCTGGTGTCTTTTTTTCCATCCAAAATAAAGTGGGACAGATAATGTAGGACCAACTTCAGTTCTAGAAGGTGTGGATGGAACTACTGAAAACAATGTTCCTAGTTTACTAATTAGTTAGTTTAATAATTTTAACTAATTAGTTACTAATTAGTTTAATAATTTCACTAACCTGATTTTAAACTTTATCATTATCTTAAAAAAATAGTTGTAGCTCTTTTCCTGCAGGTGGCATTGTTATATTTTTTAAGTACTAAGTTGTAAATACTCAAGTTAGAAGACAAAGATTGTTGCAGTTGTTCAGTTGCTAAGTCCTGTCTGACTCTTTGCGACCCCATGAACTGCAGCATGGCAGGCTTCCCTGTCCTTACAAAGATTGTAAGGCTACATCAAAATATCCAACCAAACGCTTTTTACAGGAGATGGGTTTGGGCAAAAGAAATCTTTCTCTTCTACAGAAAAACGTATAATAAATATTTAAAACTAGAAATAGAAGAGACTTGGAAACAAGTATAAAATTTATTTTAGAGTGATTTTCTTAAAGAGGAGTGGAGAAATGGGATGGTGTTTTGTGTTGGGGAGGGGTGTTGAGGGACATTTTGTGGCTTTTAAGATGTGAGAATTAACAGCATGTTCATGGGAACAATACAGGAAAAGAGAGAGGCCAGAGGTGCAGGAGCAGGGAGCTGATAGATCCACTTAGCAGGTGGAAGAGTTGTCACACTTCATTCATAGAATTAAAGTAGACTCTGCTGGTACAAGCGCAGTAGGGCCGGTGACAGAGGCAAATGAGAGTTCTCTTGTGTTGCTTTTTTTTGCCCCTTGAAGAAATGGAAAGCGGGATCAACGATGACGATGGGGTGGAGGTGTCAGGCAAGGCTTGCTAGAGAGCTGCGGTGTAGTCGTCCTTTTGGGAGTGGGAGAGAGTGTGGGTGAGGTCCACGCAGTGGGGTTGTTGGCTGCACTGGCGGCTCACTGAAATCAGCAGTCAGGAATTAACAGCAAGACCAGTGAGCCTGGTGGTGCAGTTTCCTCCAGCCGTGTTAAGTGAGTGTGGGTGTCAAGAGGGTGAAAAGAGGTTTCGACCAGCGTTAAGATTTTGCTGGGTGAGTCCAACAAAGGAAAGAGATACAAGCGAGTTGAATTTGTGTGAAAAGGAGTGATTATAATGTTGAACCACAGAATCTGAGCTGGGTGAGGAAGCATGGTGGAAAGGTAGCTGAATCAATGTGACCTGGTGGGGTCAGAGAATTGTTGGTGCTGGGATGTTAGAGGGTGTGAGCCGGGAAGATGGGAGGTGAAGATCAGACAATGGAATGTTTCCACTGAGGATACAGAGGAGTTATAGCAACTGGTAATGACCGGACCTAAGGGTATGGCCACAGCAAAAACGTGTTTGGAGTATTAATCCTTTGTCAGTTATATAAGTTGTAAATACCCTCCTCCTTTGTGGCTTGCCTTATCATTTGCTTATGATTTATTCTGCATTTACAAAAGTGGTTAATTTTGATGTGATTAAATGTACAGCCTCTGGTTTGGTATCTTCTTTAAGAAATTCTTCCTTATCCTGATGCCACGAAGAAGATGCTTTCCTCTAAAACTTGCTTTGTGGCTTTTCTCTTATGTCTTTATTCTCCTGAGATTCACATTTGTGTCATTTCCATTAGGGATCTAAGTTGATCTTTTCCCATGGTATATGGTCCAAGTATCATTTATTGACTTGTGCATTTTTTCCCCCACTGATTTTTAACATTGCTTCCATCCTATACCAAGTTCCTCTAAATTTCTGGATTTGTTTCTAGTCTCACTTTTGTTCCAGTGGCTTTTTTTTCTGCACCAGTCCCATCATATTTTAAATACTATAGCTTTAGAATTATCTTGATATCAGTAAGATCTACTCCCCAAGTTCCTTCTTCAGAAATTTCTTGGCTTTCATTTGATCTTGTTTTTTCATATGTATTTTTGGATCAGTTCGTCAAAAAGCCTTTTGGAATTTTTAATGAGCCCTGGTGGCTCAGCAGTAGATCATCTGCCTGCAATGCAAGAGACGCAGGAGACATGAGTTTGATCGCTGGGTCGGGAAGATCCCTTAGAGAAGGAAATGGCAACCACTCCAGTATTCTTGCCTGGGAAATCCCATGGAAAGAGAAGCCTGGTGGACTACAGTTCATAGGGTTGCAAAGAGTTGGACATGACTAAGTGACTAGATAACAACCATAGAATTTGCTGCTCTTCCTTATGATATTCCCCTAAAATTCTCTTTCTAATATTAGGGCTGCTTTGTCCCAGCACGAGCTCTGGTCTCCATCTCCTTTTCAGCTTGCTTGGACCACACACCTGCCCCTTTGAGCTAGCAACATGGGAAAGCAGCTCCTCCTGTTGCAGAGTAACCTAGTGGATGAGGCTGTGGACCAGAGTGAGACCTCCTGGGATCAAATTGCCTCGACCATTTACTGGGCAAGTTCACTGGCGTCTCTCTGACTCAGCCTCTTCATCTGTAAAATAAGGGTAGAAATGTATCTACATCAGAGCTCTGATCTGAGACTGGAATGAGTTCATCCACATAAAGTACTCACAATGGTGCCAACAGCCAGTAACTAGGGTTGTTCTTTGGCCTGTGCCTCTTCTGATCGTCATCTCTTCACTAACTTTGGACCCTGGGACTGAATATGATTGTTTAGATAGGGGTTCAAACTGGAACAAAGACACAGATGCAGACTACCAAGGAGCTTCATTCAACACACATACTTTGGTTCTTCTCTGTGCTTTACCAAAGCTGTCCCTAGCATCATGTCCCAGAGGAGGCTGGCTATATGTTCCTATAGGGTTAGTGACATTCTCATATTAGGTGGGAAATTTTCATATTTGAGAGTGGAACTTGGTTTCACAGACTGGATTGATTCAATAAGCTTATGCTATTCAAGGCCCAATACTAAGCTAATAGGTACAGACCCCAAACCATTCTTACCTATAATATGAATTTGTTGTCACAGTGCACTGAATCATACTTTTTTATTTGGTGGGAGGGACATGTACATAGGTGCGGTAGTGGTGATATTGTACATAAATACACAAATACATAATTTCTTTGTTCCTTCTAGTATGTCAAGAATTCTTGAGTCGATTCTACAACTCTTTGATAGCCAGAGGAGTCAACTTTTCTCTGGACACCATAGAAAAAGAATTGATCAACTTTTGCTTGGATGTCAAAGGAAAAGAAAACCGCCTGGTATGGTAAATTTTCACCTTTCATTTCCCCCCTGTGCTTGGAGAAAACTGCTAACTGTTTCATTTCTTATCTTGAGTTTAATGTTCTCCTGTTTGGATGCTTGCCCCAAGCATGTTCTCTGTAGAAGGCCAGCAAAAATTGATCTTTCAGGAAAATGGAGTCAATGTATTTTCACCTAGAATATATCTGGTTTCATTTGGCTTTTTGGAAAAAACATAGGCAACCAATTCCATGATTTCTTAAATGAAATTATTTACTATACAATTGAATTCCTAATGAGAATTTATTTACTGTCCTAAGTGTGGGTAGACTTTACGTTTCTTTTTTTTTCCATTTATTTATTTATTTTTCCATTTATTTTTATTAGTTGGAGGCTAATTACTTTACATCATTGCAGTGGTTTTTGTCATACATTGAAATGAATTAGCCATGGATTTACATGTGTTCCCCATCCCGATCCCACCTCCCACCTCCCTCTCCACCCGATCCCTCTGGGTCTTCCCAGTGCACCAGGCCCGAGCACTTGTCTCATGCACCCAACCTGGGCTGGTGATCTGTTTCACCCTAGATAATATACATGTTTCGATGATGTTCTCTTGAAACATCCCACCCTCGCCTTCTCCCAGAGTCCACAAGTCTGTTCTGTACATCTGTGTCTCTTCCCCTGTTTTGCATATAGGGTTATCGTTACCATCTTTCTAAATTCCATATATATGTGTTAGACTTTACGTTTCTAATCAAGACAATTAGTGAAACCTATCAAAATATTTTTACATCATTATTTATGCATAATTAATGAAGTATTTTTATTATCTTGAAATGGTGTTTCCTGGGTAAACACAAATGACTTATTCCAATATACTGTCTTTATAGCACTAAAGACAATCTGGGGCCAATTTGCTTTGCCTAAGATTGTCATATTGAATTTGTCAGTTAAATTCGCCTTGTTAACTGCTCACCACTGGCACACTATAAAAATCTCGGCATTGTCTGCACCATTAAGTTTTATATTTTTAAGTGTAAAATGCTTTTCAGGTAGCTTGAAAGGCAGTACAACATGATGGAACAGGGCATGGACCCCAGAGCCAGAAGGCTAGATTTTTAAATTCATTCAGTCTCTTCTACTTGCTGGTTGGGTGACCTCCAGTTGACTTGGGTGTGAAATAGGGAAAGTTCTAGTACTAATGTCACAGGCTTGTTATGAGAATTAAATACGCCAATATCTTTAAAGCCCTGAGAGCAGCATCTGACATAGACAAAACATTTAGCAACTATTATCTCTTATCATTAGTCTTTAAGTTTAATGTCAATTTCAGGGCACTTCTAATAAGGCTGATCATGGGAATGGAGTCATTGTTTTCTTGTGTCTTAGTGAGTAGGGGTTCAATTTAAGATCTGGGCCATGAAAACTAGGTTAGCCTCTTTCTCCCTTCTTGAAATTATACTGCTTGCTTTTTCCAGTGTCTGGGACCCTAAATTCTCTTTGTTCCCCTTCAGTGCTACTATCTAGGAGCAACAAAAGATGCCGCTACGAAGATCCTAAGTGAGGTCACTCGCCCGATGAGTGTGCACATGCCTGCTGCAAAGATATGTGAGAAGCTAAAGAAGATGGACAGTCAGATCTGTGAGCTGAAATACGGTATAATGGAGTTTAATGTTTTCCCCCAAATGTCCAATGTATTGCCAATCCCCTAAACATGGTCCAGGTTTCTAAACAATCAGTGTTAGAAGAAAAGGAATTCTACACTTGCTAATAGGATGCTGGGCTACTGGATGGTGTCCAGTGTTGTCTGAGCTTCTTTCAGGAAAGAAAAATGAATTCTGGCACAATCAGCATTAGGTGAAACTGCCCACCCAAATGGCAAAATTTAAACTCTTCAATCACCAAGATATTTTCAACTACAGATGTCAAGGAAAAATTCAAAATATCAAAGGAGGGGCTTCCCTGGTGGTCCAGTGGTTAAAACTCTGCCCTTTCAATGCAGGGGGCATGGGTTGCATCCCTGATCAGGAAACTAAGATCCCACATACCATGTGGTATGGCCAATTAAAAAAAAAAAAAATCGAGGGAGCAGCTGTTCATGGTGAATTAGCTCTTGGTAACCTATTAAGAGCAAAGGTGCATCTACTCAAAGGTAATGTAAGGACCCTGAAGTTTTAAATGGGGCTCTAATATTCTTCCTAGGTCTATCACTTTGCCAGGTTTAATTTTTAGGAAATAGGTTAATCACATCAAATCAGATTTTGCCTGATGAAATAGACTTATCAAGGGTGCCAAAAATAAACAGCCAGAAAAGGAAGATGTCCTATTTAAAATGTTATCCTTGGCCTTATAAATTTTACATACATATATCTATTCTTATACAGATAATTTGTATCTGGGCCAGTCTTTGGGGTAGATGGATAGGACTTATTGAAGGCTGGGGAATTCCGCCTTTAGCCTATCCTTTAACCCCTGAAGTTCCACCAGAAAAAGTCCATTTCTTTTGTTTATGTCATTGTTTCACGTTATATACATGGTGTAGTATTTTAAACTACCTAAGTAATTAGCACCCAACTCTGAATCATTAATACTTTAGTCTTATTTTTCAACATAGCTGTGTAATATGCCTGTGCTCCATAGCTACATATCTGGCTTTAAAAAGGTTTAATATCTGGAAGATATCAAAGACAACCTGTTTCTCAAATGGGCAAGGGCAAGCCCTAACCTACAGGGTGGTGATGATGGACTAGCATCTTTTTCTTGGCTTCCAAGTAATGAAGTAGAAGGAGGAATCACTGAGTCCATAGAAAAAACAGTCCCCAAAGGGATAAAACTGTACTGATTCTTTCATTTAGCACATTTCTTTTGAATAATTTCTGCTATGAGCAAGGTATCTTACTGGGTTCCTTGAATAATAGACAAATTCATCAGATATTATTGAGAAGAAATGAATACTTAACTAATGTTTCAGCAATGCTGGCCACTAGAGGCCCCTGGGGAGCCATGGACTGGATTTACTTTTGGTATCAACCTTTCCCCTGTAGCTTTAGGGTGCCATAGAGAATTTTCTTTTTAAATTGATATCAAATGATAAGTTCTCTAGAATAACCTGAAGAAACTACCAGCACCTAAAAGAAAGTAATTTTCTCCTTCAACCATTTATCTTGAATAGGCCACTAGTTCTAAATTTTTCCCAGCTTCTTTTTGGTGAAAAAGTTGATATTGAACAAGGGCCTTTGAGCTGTGGAATACTAAAATTTGGGTTATAAAAGCTTCTACTCTTAAAGGTATTCCATCATATCAGCCATGAAATTAACAAACAAGGTAAGTGTAGATTTGGAATATGTTTTCTATCAGGAAGGTGTTAGTTGGTTTCTAACCTGACAGGATGTGTCTGCTTTCTCTGTTTTTTAAAAGAATAGGAATCATTGTTAAAAATTGTAAAGATTCTCGAATTTATGGTTACCGGTGGGGGAAGGGTGGCGGAAAAAGATAGTCAGGGAGTTTGGTATTGAGATTTACACACTGCTATATTTAAAATGGATAACCAACAGGGACCCACTGTATAGCACAGGGAACTATGCTCAATGTAATGTGGCAGCCTGGATGGGAGGGAAATTTGGGGAAGAATGAATGCATGTATATGTATGGCTGAGTCCCTTTCCTGTGTACCTGACACTATCACAATATTGTTAATTGGCTACACTCCAATTGAAATAAAAAGTTTAAATTCAAAATACACACACACATATGTAAGAATTCTCTGGAGCACAGAGTGTAGTGACCCTCCAAATAAAAAGGGCTTTATATACAACTTTGATTTATTTCCAGCTTTACTGAGATATAATTGACATATAAAAGTGTAAAAGTTTAAGGTGTAAAATATGTTTATTTGATAAACTTATATATTGTAATATGATTACATTAGCTAATATCTCCATCATAATCATGTAAGTACCAACTGTGATGGTTAGCGAACAAGCTCCATTATATCATCTAATTACCCTTCCTTTTTTGTGATAATATTTAAGCTCTACTCTCTTAGCAACTTTCAGATATACAATACAGCATTATTAACTGTCTTGACCATTTTGTTCTTTCTCAGGACTGCTTTGACTATTTGAGGTCCTTTATGATTCCATACAAATTTTAGGACTTTTTTTTTTTCTATCTCTGCAAAAGTGCCACTGGCATTTTAGTAGGGATTACATTGGTTCTATAGATTGCTTTGGATAGTATAGACAATTAATTAAAAAAAAACTTCATGTTATTTATTTTTGGCTGTGCTGTGGGTCTTGTTGCTTTATTCGGGCTTTTCTCTAGTTGTACTGTGCAGGCTTCCTACTGCGGTGGCTTCTCTTGTTGCAGGGCTTCCCAGGCGGCGCAGTGGTAAAGAATCCGACTGCTAATGAAGGAGACGCAGGAGACGTGGGTTCGATCCCTGGGTGGGGAAGATCTCCTGGAGTAAGAAATGGCAACCCACTCCAGTATTCTTGCCTAGCAAATCCCATGGACAGAGGAGCCTGGTGGGCTAGTCTATGGGGTCACAAAGAGTCAGACACGATTAAGCACGCCATACTCAAATACTCAGCTCTTCCTGTTGCAGAACACAGGCTCTAGGCATGTGGACTTCAGTGATTGCAGTGCACAGGCTTGGCAGCTGCACTTGTTGTGCCCTAGAGCATAGGCTGAATAGTTGTGGCCCTCGGGCTCAGCTGCTCCGTGGCATGTGGAATCTTTCTGGATTGAAACTGTGTCCCCTGCATTGGCAGGTGGATTCTTATCCACTGTACCACCAGGGAAGTCTAGTATGGACATTTTTAATTCTTCCAAACCATAAATATGGGATCTATTTCCATAGATCTTCTTTAATTTCTTTCATCAAAGTCTTGTCATTTTCTGTATACAGATCTTTGACCTCCTTGATTAAGTTTATTCCTAAGTCTAAAATTCAACTTTTAAATTAGGATATACTTACTGGAAAATTTTGATAAATCACTTGACAGCTATGTTAGGTTATTAAAAGGCTTTTAAATGCCATGTTCTTTTATGTAGGGGTCAAAAAGAAATGCTTCAAAAGATATCAAACTGAAAAAGTCCTAGGATGCCACTAATTTTTAAAATATTTTAAAAATATTTTAGCCACGCCATGCAGCATGTGGGATCTTAGTTCCCCGACCCAAGATCAAATCTACGCCCCTTGCAGTGGAAGTGTGTAGTCTCAACCACTGGACAGCCAGGGAAGTCCCAGAACTAATAGTTGAATAAGTCAGTTGAAGTGCTCTAGCTATGTGCAAGCATGCACCTAGTGGCTGGGGAGGTGAGGAGGACACTTTCCTTTGAGAGAGAAAAAATGCCCCTTTCTGATACAGAAATCATAGTCACGAGTAGATTATAGATGAGCTTAATTTTTTTTCTATTTTTGGGCTTGGCAATAGAGAAGTAGCTGAGTTCTTCACATCCTCTGAAGATAATCTGTAAGTAGGGAAACAATAGTCTTGCTAGAGGAGTTAGATGCTGGTGACAGATCCTATTGGCAAGAACATTAGGGACCAGATTGGCTGGTACAGTAGCACCAGCATTAGAGAAGTTGGTATACCCCAAAGGACTGTAACTAAACTCTGTGTGGTTTGGTAATCTCAGTAGGGGAGTGGGGATCAGGTGAGTTTAAGCTGAGATCGAAAATAGCTAAGGATTGGTGAGAATGCTCCTAATTTCATTCATGTGTTTGGGTTTCTTTAAATTTGTATTTAAAAGCTATCTTAAATTCTTTATATTGTATTTATATTCTTTAAATTTATATTTTAAAATTGTATTTAAATTCTTTAAATTTGTATTAAAAACTAATTTGTATTAGTGCTTTGTAATATATATGCTCATCCATTTTACCTCAGACATATCTTTCTATAAAAACTGAACCATGGGATTTCCCTGCAGCCTACTGGTTAAGATTTCACTTTTCAGTGCAGGGGGTACAAGTTCAATCCTTGGTTGGAGAGCTAAGATCCCACATGCCTCACAGCCAAAAAAAAACAAAACATGAAACAAGCAGTATTTTAACAAATTCAATAATGACTTTAAAAATGGTTCACATTTAAAAAAAATTAAAAGAAAAAGAAAAGGTGAACCATAACTTTCTAGTAAATTACAACTCATGGCTTTCAGTTGGCCACACACACAAGGCCATCCCAAGGCACCACCCTCTTGATTCCCTTCTTTTTTCCTTATAAGTAGCAATTAGGATGAGGTGCTATTCATTTTATGAACGCTGCATAGGTCCCCATTTTGCAGCAAGTATGATTCCATGCAGAGGAAATCTGATAGATCATGAGTTATCCTAATAGCTTTGTATATGATACATTTTTCTTAGGTATGTCTTGGTTTCCATAGAACTTGGAACCCTTCCCCACTTTGGATCACAGGGTAGACAGTACCAAGATAAGTAACACCATTTGCTTTTCTTTCTTTCTCTTTTTAATGTATACCTTTCCTTTTTGTCATGAAGAAAAGAAACTGGACTTGGCATCAGTGGACCTGTCCAAGATGAGAGTCGCAGAGCTGAAGCAGATACTGCACGGCTGGGGAGAAGAGTGCAGGGCCTGCGCAGAAAAAACCGACTACGTGCATCTCATCAAAGAACTGGCGCCCAAGTATGCATCGACGCGCCCCCAAACAGAACTCTGACTCCTGGAAGCCAGCGCACCACTGGCTGTAACTAGTGACAAAATGCCTCTCTAGGATATGGATGCACTGGTTGAGAGGAACCAGGAATTTCAGTATGTGTGGTCTCAGACTTTTTGTTTGGATATGACACTTCAGAATTGGTTACCTGGGTTTATAAGTAGAACTGTTAGTATTAGTGGTTTCTTAAATCTGCAGTGTACCAAAACTTACAAGTGCCTTTCTCATAGTTTTCTTGTATGTGAATTATCATTGCCTATCTCCTTAAACTGGGAAAAGTGAACCACTGAAAAATCAGTGGAGTAAATTGATTCTAAGTAGGAAGAGAGTGCTCAGAAGCTATCTGTATACTTATTTTTAATTAAATATGTTGGATTAGAGAAAGACAAATATCATATAGTGAAAAGTGAAAGTGAAAATTTCTCAGCTGTGTCCGACTCTTCGTTACCCCATGGACTATACAGTCCTGAAATTCTCAAGCCCCCCCCTTTTTATATTCCACATATAAACAATATTATATGATGCACAAATGAACTTATCTACAAAACAGAGTCACAGATGTAGAAAACAGTCTTATGTTTACTGAGGGTGGGTGTGGGGGAAGGATAAATTGGGAGATTAGGATTTTTTTTTTTGAGATTACGGTTGATACACACTCCTATGTATAAAATAGGTAATTAAGAAGAACGTGCTGTGTAGCACAGGGAACTCTACTCAATTACTCTATAATGGGCTTCATGGGAAAAGAATTTTTTAAAAAGTGGATGTATGTATGTGTATAACTAATTCACTTTGCTGTAATACCTGAAACTAACACAACATTGCAAAGCAACTATACTCCAATTAAAAAAAAAAAAAATGGATTAGGACAAAAGAAAAAAAAAAGATGTTTAGCTTACCTAATTCCTAACTTCAACTCAAATGATGACCTGGTGAAATCAGAAGTTTTTTAAAAAGTAAACTTTGTATTTAACGGTAAATTACTTTACCTTCTGGGGCTTCCCAGGTGACTCAGTGATGAAAAATCCACCTGCCAATACAGGAGACACAGAAGACACAGGTTTGATCCTTGGGTTGGGAAGATCCCCTGAAGTAGGAGATGGCAAACCACTCTAGTACTTTTGCCTGGAGAATCCCATGGACAGTATTCTTGCTTGGAGAACCCCATGGACAGAGGAGCTTGGAGGGCTACAGGCCCTCCAGTTGTAGTATGCAGGCTTAGTTGCCCAGAGGCATGTGGGATCTTAGTTCCCTGACCAGGGCTCGACCTCTAGTCCCCTGCACTGGAACATGGATTCTTAACTGCTGGACCACCTGAAAAGGGAAAGTCTCTAGACAAGCTTTTGAGAGAGGATAGAAGCTTATTAAGACCAACTGCAGGCAGCATGGAGCTTTATGGGTCTTAGTGCTATTTCATCATATTTAAATTGTAAAATCATCTTTGGTTCCATTTCCTGGTCACATAAGAATATGGTACCCATTGTAGATTTGGCTGGCTCTGTGTGGCAGGTGAAAGAGGGAAGCGACTGCAGCGCAGTTAGAGGGAATGTCCTGGTGTATGGAAATGTCCTATATCTTGGTTGGGGTGATGGTTACATGGGTGAATATGACTGTCCAGTTCATCCAGCCGTATAATTAAGATCTGGGCATTTTATTGTATGTAAATTACACCTAAAATACTGCTGTAGAAAAATTATTCGAAAATTAGCCAAAGTCAAGTGATTCAAAACATCTTATTTGTTTAGGAATTGCATTTGCTTAAAGTTGCCAAATGATCCAGCAACCCCACTCCTGGGCATATATCTAGACAAAACACACGTACTGTGTATTCATAGCAGCACTACTTGCAGAAGCCAAGACGTGGAAACAACGTAAATGTCAACTGACAGATGAATGAACAAGGAAGACCTGGTCTGTATATACAGTGGAATGCTAGTCAGCCCTGAAAAAGAATGGCATTTTGTGCCATTAGTAACCAAATGGGTATTATGCTCAGTGAAAATGTCAGAGAAAGACAAATACTGTATGCTGTCACTTATATGTGTAGTCTAAGAAATTAAAAAAACAACTAGTGAATATAACAAAAAAGAAACAGACTCACAGACACAAAGAACAAACTAGTTGTTATCATTATTAGCCATAAACAAGAAATAATGCCAGGTACAGCAACATGGATGGATCTAGAGGTTATGATACTCAGTAATGTAAGTCAGAAAGAGAAAGACAAATACCATATGATATTGCTTATATGTGGACTCTAAAATATGACACAATGAACTTATCCAAAAAACAGAAATAGACTCACAGACATAGTAGACCTGTGGTTGCCAAGGGGGAGGAGACTGGGGAAGGAAGGAATGGAAGTTTGGGTTTAGCAGATGCAAACTATTACCTATAGAATGGATAAACAAGATCCTACTGTGTAGCACAAGAAACTATATTCAATATCTTGTGACAAACAGTAATGGAAAATAATATGAAAACGAATATATATATATACACATGTACAACTGAGTCACTTTGCTGTACAGAAGAAATTCACACAACACTGTAAATCAAGTAAACTTCAATAAAATAAAAATTAAAAAATGAATTGCATTTACTTACTAGGAGTTCTTTTGTGAAGTGGAATGAAAATTTCCAGACTGTAAGAATATATTAGAATATAATTTACACTTTTAAATGCTGCACAGGTAAAAAGTGTTTTCAGCTGGGCAGTTAGGATACAACTGAACTTGTCAGGGATTAGCAGCTAGTAACAAAAATGATAATAAAAAAACTGCCTGTCGAGGAGGAGCCAAGATGGCGGAGGAATAGGACGGAGAGATCACTTTCTCTCCTACAAATTCATCAAAAGAACATTTGAATGCTGAGCAAATTTCACAAAAGAACTTCTGATCGCTAGCAGAGGACATCAGGCGCCCAGAAAAGCAGCCCATTGTCTTCGAAGGGAGGTAGGACAAAATATAAACGACAATAAGGGAGTCGAAAGAGCTACGGACGGAGACCCGTCCCGGGAAGGGAGTCTTAATAGAGGAAGTTTCCAATCACCAGGAAACCCTCTCACTGGCGGGACTGGGGGAAGTTTTCGGCACTGTAACTGGGAGGAAAAATTAAACAAGGCCCACAGATTACGTGCCTAAAAGCAACTCCCAGCAGAAAAGTACCCCAGACGCCCGTACCCGCCAGCAACAAGCGGGGCGGAACGGAGAGGAGCGGGCGNAAAAAAAAAAAAAAAAAAAAAAAAAAAAAAAAAAAAAAAAAAAAAAAAAAAAAAAAAAAAAAAAAAAAAAAAAAAAAAAAAAAAAAAAAAAAAAAAAAAAAAAAAAAAAAAAAAAAAAAAAAAAAAAAAAAAAAAAAAAAAAAAAAAAAAAAAAAAAAAAAAAAAAAAAAAAAAAAAAAAAAAAAAAAAAAAAAAAAAAAAAAAAAAAAAAAAAAAAAAAAAAAAAAAAAAAAAAAAAAAAAAAAAAAAAAAAAAAAAAAAAAAAAAAAAAAAAAAAAAAAAAAAAAAAAAAAAAAAAAAAAAAAAAAAAAAAAAAAAAAAAAAAAAAAAAAAAAAAAAAAAAAAAAAAAAAAAAAAAAAAAAAAAAAAAAAAAAAAAAAAAAAAAAAAAAAAAAAAAAAAAAAAAAAAAAAAAAAAAAAAAAAAAAAAAAAAAAAAAAAAAAAAAAAAAAAAAAAAAAAAAAAAAAAAAAAATGATAATAAAAAAGCTTTCATGTGATAAATAGCCAAAATGGTTACTGTTTCTGGATTTTTGTCATTATGTGTAAAGCTCCCTACTTTACTATTAATTATAAGAGCCTAATTTTAGGCTTTTTACAACCTTCATGTTTGCTTTTCTTTAGTGCATTTTGAGCCTTTTGAGAAACTAATCATTTGAAGATAATCTGATATTAAAATCGGGTCATATATCTGTCTCATTTTTTTAGGGTATCAATCTAGGTAATAAGAGCACCATGCAGCAGGTCATTCAAACCCATGATGTTTAGTCTGGTATTTCGAAGGGCATTTACTTTCAGGCAGTGCCACTCAAACGTCTCCAGGTATGTATGCAGGTCACCTGCAAAGTGAAAGTGAAAGTCGCTCAGTGGTGTCCGACTCTTTGTGACCCCCATGGACAATACAGTCCATGGAATTCTCTAGGCCAGAATACTGGAGTGAGTAGCCTTTCCCTTCTCCAGTGGATCTTCCCAACCCAGGGATCGAATTCAGGTCTCCCACATTGCAGGCAATTCTTTACCAGCTGAGACACAAGGGAAGCCCACAGGTCACCTGAGGATCTTGTTAAAGTGTGGATTCTGACTCAGTAGGGCTGGGCAGGACCTGGGACTCTGCATTTCTAACAGGTCCCCAAGTGATGCCCAGGCTGCTCTACTAGGGACAACACTGAGTGGCAAGGGCCTAAGTCATGGGTCCTGAGTTTGACTGATCTGTTTCCTTCTGCTAAACCCACTAAGGTTTTTGATAGAGAGAGCTGAATATAATATAAAAATAAAACAAACAACAACAAAGGCACAAGAGTTGATTCTCTCACATGAGGTCCAGATGTAGCCAGTTCAGAGGGAACATGGCAGTTTCACGAAGTTATTAGGGACTCAGCTCTTAGCTTTCTGCTTCATTTCCTAGTGGTGGATCCTTTTCTTAACCCACAGTCCAAGCTGGCTTCTAGAACTCCTGGTTCCAGGAGTGAGAAGGTAGAAAAGATCTGTCTCTAAGCTGAGCCAATTCTTGTTTTGGGGTATACTTGCTTTACAATGTTGTTTATTTCTGCAGTTCAATGAAGTGAATCAGCTATATGTATACATATGTGTCCTCCCTCTTGAGCCTCCCTCCCACCCCATGCCATATCCCACCCCTCTAGGTCAGCACAGAGCACTAAGCTGAGTTCCTTGTGCTGTAAGCTCCTTGTGCTTCCCACTAGCTGTCTATTTTACGCATGGTAGTGTATATACATCAGTCCTAATATTCCAGTTGAATTTACCCTCCCCTTTCCCCCTTGTCCACATATCTGTTCTCTACATCTGCCTCTCTATTCCTGCCCTGGAAACAGATCCAGCAGTACCATTTTTCTAGGTTTTAAACATATGTGTTAATATACGATATTTGTTTTTTTCCCTCTGACTTAACTTTATTCTGTATGACAGATTTTAGGTTCATCCACATCACTACAAATGGCTCGATTTCATTCCTTTTTATTTAGCCAGGTTCTTTA